GCCACTCTTTTCCCTTCCTGGCCCTTCCATCTTTGTTGACTGCATACGTCCAGACTGACAAACATGAACTCCAAAATAACTGTACTTGAGCTTGTTTGTGACCAGACTAGAAGGAGCAGGGAGGGTTTTGAAGGAAAGGGAAAAAACAAGGGAAGGAAGGAATAAGTGAAGAAAAGAAATGGGAAAAGAAGAATAGAAGGAAGGAATGAACAAGGGAGGGAAAGAAGGGAAGGAAAGAGGAAAGAAAGAGGGAGGGAATGGTGCGAAGGAGGGGAGGAGGTAAGGAAAGAAGTAAGAAAGAAAAGATGGAAGGGAAATAAAGAAAAAGTGAGAAGGAAGGAATAGGTGGGAAGAAAAGGTGAGAAGAAAGAGAGGGAAAGGAAATAAATGTAAATTGGAAAGGAGAGGAGAGTTGTTGAGAAAGAGCAGCACAGGTAAAGTAGTTCAAATCCCAGACGCCCATCTCACAGACACACCCCTGAGTGCCTGAGGGACGGCATAAGAAGAGGCTTCTAGAAGACACAAAAAAGTGAGAAGGAAAGAATAGATGGGAAGAAAAGGTGAAAAGAAAGAGAGGGAAAGGAAATAAAATTTAAAGGGAGAGGAGAGGAGAGGAGAGGAGAGGAGAAGACACAGAGACATAGTCTCATAGTCATTGTAGGGTGACTTGTCTCAAACCAGAACACTCGGGGGATAGAAGGTAATCAAAAAAAAAAAAACTTGGTTCTATCAATCAGCTGTTGATTGGACTTTGAGATGTGGTTGTTGCACTCAAAAATGAATGTGATTGTGGAAAGGCAGAGTTTAAAGGCCTGATCAGTGAGATGAATTTTTCGTGTGATAAACATTTTTAATTAATTAATAATAATAATAATGATAATAATAATAATAATAATTAATAATATACTAATAATAATTCACAATAAGATCTGTAGCATGCAACTCAGAAAAAAAGATTGTTAATTTTAATTTCATGCTGACTTTGAATATAACATTTCATAAATTATCAGCATATAAATATGACACCAATTCCATATTTGTCAGAAGAAAATTCTGGAAATGTAACTTTTACAGTGAAAGCAAAGTGTCTTACTTGCATTTTCAAGTCTTGTAAAAAATAAATAGATGGGCTTCTTTCAACTTGTTGAAACACATTTTCATTTAGGCATTTCGTTAAAAGCCGCTTGTACCAAGAGAACTATAGAGAGTGGAAACAAGCTTGTGAAGTTATCGTCATGGCAACCAGATACATTATTTGCTTAAACACATTCTACAAAGAAGTATCTGCAAACTAACTGGGTGATACTGCAGAAAAAGGAAGCTGTTTCCTTTTTCTGCAGTATCACCCAATCGAAACCACAAACAATAAAGACAGTAGCTACTGACACTGAAGCTACTCATAACAGAACAGAGAAACAGAAACCATGGTTTATTTACAAGTCAAGACACACCTCATGAAATCAGGATAAACCTAGAAATCTTGCCATCCTAGAAAAAATGCACAATCACAAAATACTGTGCACACACACACACAAACACAACACAAATACAGATAACTTCCCACACAATACAGAAGAAGGTTAAAGCCCTCATTCAAGCAGATCCCTCTGCAAACAATCAATAAGAAGCAATAAGAACCTTAAAAAATAAAACTTTTCTCTGGGGGGCACTAGACTGTGAACGCACACCCACCGTCAGTGTGACTTGGGCTGGATTTGGACACTTTTAAATGCTGACTGACAGCACTTGACTGATAGGTGGACATTTCTGCAGAAGCAAGGACAATTAAATGTGTGGTGACCTCACATAGGACCTCCTTCAAATAAGATAGGTGAAGCTATGGGAGAACATGGTCTGAAACTAAAAAAAAGGGAACATGAATTCCTTTATTTGTCAACCAGAGCACCAAGGGAAAACAAAAGAGTGATTGACAGGGCGAGAATGAGAGAAGAAGACAAAAGCAAGTACATGAGATGTGAACAAGATACCACCAGTAGTGCAATTCCTTATGTTAAGGATGCAAATATTTACATAAGACATGCCCATAGGCGAAAATTCCTGGGGGGACAGGACAGAACCCCCCCCATCTGAGGATTGTCCCTCCTAAAAATATGATTAGAAATCAGTCTGTCTATTGTAAATAACAATGTTTTATACTTTAAATAATTGTGTAAGTAGTAAAACAACACAAACGAGGCAAAAAAGTCTCCCCTCCCTTGCCTCACAGTGCTTTGGTCCAAATGCCTGCTTTCCTCTTTTACATCACCTATACGCACACAAGTCCAGTGAGAGAGATCAAAGCCAACGGTCTCCCTGCTGCACTAATAGTGGTAAGGCTTTCCTCTGTGTATACATATCCTTACAAGTACAAATTTAGCTGTATTATTTGTGTCCCCTACAAAAATCGCTCTTGAGAAATTGTATGTTTGTTGTCTGTTAGACAATATTTACGCCCCTGGACATGCCAAACATCTTCAACACTGGATGACATGAAGTCAACATTCAAGAGCACAGAAATTCTTCTTCACTCAGCATCAGTTTTGAGATGGAAAAATATTGTTTACAGCACAATACTGAATGATTTTCAACCTCAGTAAAAGAGACATGAACTGTGTAACATTATAAGCACAATATTCCCAATGTATTGGATCTATTTTCCTCTGCAGAGCAAATGAAACCAATACCACTGGAATATACATTGTAAATGATGGATACTGTCAGTATACATCTCAACATTTATTTGTGAGTTACCACATGTATTTAAATAGCAAACGGGTTCTATAAAATAATTTTTGAATCCATTGACAAAATAAAATGAAAGAGATTGTGCCATTAAAGGAATGTAATCCTCTGTTGGGTTAAGTCTTGCCATTATTAAAACTACTATTAAAAAAGGTTCAAACATTCACTGATGCTCCAGAAGGAAACATGATGTACTAAGAGCCGGGGTGAAAACCTTTGAACAGGATGAAGATGTCCAAATGTTTCTTATTTTGTAGAAATATTTTTTTTTTCCATTTAGTACTGCCCTTCGGAAGCAACAGAAGATACTTGCATGTTTCCCGGAAAACAAATTAAGTACAATTTACCTTGATCTTCAAATTCAAAATGTTTTCTTAGGCTCTTAAAGGTCCCCTGAAGTGCCTTGAAACATGCAGCATTATTCTATGTGGTGACGTAATTTCAACTGAAACGGGAAGAGAGGGCGGGACATATCGAGC